GGTAAACAATAGATATAGGAGATTTAGTAATAAACTATAGTAAATAATATACTTCACTTAAAATGTGAACTTGTTAACTTAGGTAAACAATAGATATTGGAGATTTAGTAATATACTATAGTAAGTAATATACTTCACCTAAAATGTGAACTTGTCAACTTATGTGAACAATTCATGGATAAGATTATGGAGGTGTATCATACACCCAATATATTATAAAAATGTCTCTCTGAAAAACAATTTTTGTCCTTATAATATCAAACTAGGATAAGTATGATTGAATATTTGATGAAACAATACAATTACAATTGATCAAATTTGATGCTGACATACAACAATGCTTTAGCGTTGAGTCAGCCAGTCATTAAAATGAATAATCTTTCTCGGTGTTTAATATGTGTGTAGTAATTTCGTGTAATTATAATACGTACTATTTTTCTCGTTAGTATATTATAGGCACAAAGCTTGGCTTCCTATGGTGTACAATCTTTGATATTTTTTTGTCAAATCATTACACACTTAGCTGCATAAAGTGGTTGACGATTTGGCAAAAACATATATTGATATTGTAACTTATATGTGTAATTCAAAAATTAACTTTTTATTAGATTTAAGTGCATTGGTGAGTTAACCTCGCTCATATTAATCTTGTCCTACGCTTTAAGTGTTTGAATGTTTGGTAAAAAAAAAAAATTAAATGTAGATTAAATATTAGCTGCCACCACATGAAAGAAAAGAAGGCAAGTTACAAGGATCTGGATTAATTCTTAAGTGAGATAATGGCTGTTCATAAGTCTTAGCGGACAATTTAAAAAGCTATAGACATGATAGGACAAGGATAGGTGCGTGGTGGAACCATAATTGTTTAAGGTTCAATATATAATTAATGCTTAATTCTATAATCACTATTTTGGCTAAATATTTAAATATAAATGTTTCAATTTCACATTTAGCTCTTTCATCAATTAAATTTATAATAAAAAAAATTTTCAAAGCTAATGCTTTTAACGTATGAATTATATGTATACGAAAAGTAATTAAATTGCGTAGATAAAAAATTGAATATGTATTCGTAGTTCCGATTATATATGTAAGATTCGAGTTTTCATATATTCCAATTATCTAGTAGTGTTAATAACTTTTAAGATTTGCCAATTTTTTCTTTAGTATTTAAATTCCCAATTGTTAATTGAAAAAAAAAAGGTTTATAGCTTTGAACTTTTTTTTCTTATTAAATGGAGCTAACATGATTCTGGCAGCAATAGTTCTCAATAAGCAATGAATGTCGAGGATGAAATTTGAAATTAAGAGATATTTAATAATTTATTTTGTTTTACAGTCGTCATTTTTTCGCTCCCGTTTGGCTTTTGACGATTCTTAGATAATGTTAATTTTATCAAAATTTAAAGTGCAAAGTCATGGTTTATTTGTTTATTTAAATTAATATTAATGTTATACTTATAAGGAAAACTTTTGAATTTCGATTGTAATGCAATATAATAGCACATTGCAGTAGTAATTAAATACAGTAGTTGTTGTGAATGGTCGTTTTATTTTTGTACGGATTCCTTTTAACAAAGTGTGTAAGATTGAACCAAAATTAATCTTAAATAATCAGCAAAAAACAAAATAATAAAAGCTGAATATCGTCGCAATGAGGAAACTATTTTGTCCACCCCAAGAGATATTCTCTTAATTCCAATGAAACAAAATTTATTGCAATACTAGTGGTCGACCGCGAATCCATCCGCGTGTTTGTCTAAAAAAAATTAGGGACTATCCTTAACATTTAGGGGGATAAAAAATAAATGTTGGCCGATTCTCAGACCTACAAAATTTCATGAGAATCGGTCAAGCCTTTTCGGAGGAGTATGTGAACGAAAATTGTGACACGAGAATTTTATATATAAGATTATAGTTTTTCCTTTTGTATTTGGCGGTGCTCAGTGGCGGCCGTCATAAAGACAATCAAGCTGATCTGACCTGAGACTAAATGCAGAGCCCAGGGTCTAGGGGATAGAGCAAGCTGGCGACGCAGCTTCGTCATCTCCTTCCCCACCAACGGGATTTTCATGGAATTGACAGTTTAATAACTTAACATGTTAGCTGCCATGTCGGACTATATGTCCGACAAGCCAATGTTTCAATCAGGCCGTGTTTGACTGTGTCCGACAAGCCATACTTCCACTCAATACCTCGCTGTGACTTGTTAATTACTTGACTTTTCGCATATTTTTTTTGCCATCTGTCGGTATGAGCAGACATTATTTAGTGGAAGCAAGAAATATCTGTCAAAGTTCAATCAAATGCGATGTAGTTCTCATAGATGGCGCTTATTTGTATTTTTGTTAATCACCCAAATTCCAAACAAAGTATCACGTCTTCTTGGATTAAGGTTTTTTTTAGGTTTAATACATATTATGTAACAAAATCGGTGGTACAGTTCCATCGAAACATTGTGATGGGTTGCAATATCGTTCTACGTCTTTACATTGAACCAGAACGTAAAGGAAATCAAAGGTGGCACACACCTACGTATGCTTGCTAGCTACCTTATAGCAGTACAATTAGAATTATACAATAATACCGATTATCATAATTACTTTCACATTAATTAACTTATGCCCATTACATGATAAAATGCGACGTTAAGATACAAACTACAGAAGATACAGAAGAAATTAGCGACCCTTAATTACTTACAAAAGAAAAAAAATTGTCAATTTCAGATAATTATAACTTTGATGTCGTTTCATTAAAATGTTTATTGTGAGATATGATACAAAGTTTGTGATGACCTATTAAATCAAAACACGTTATCTACAATATGTGTCACCGTAAGTGTTCATTACCGAAACACTATTAGAAATATATCTTGATATCCCTATCATTCTATTTGAAAAGATCGAGACAGACGCATGGTTTTCAACAGTGAAACTCAACTCCTTTCGCATACAAAACTTTATCAGTAGCTTTTAAGGATAAAGACATGTGGAGGGGGGCGTCGTGTTGTTGCATGCCGCCGCCGTGCGCCGCGGCGCTGGCGTCGCGTGTCACCTGCGCCGACGCCGACCCGTTATTCCAGCCAGACTGCCGACACAGGACTAAACAACATACGCGACAAAAAGTGCTCCCATCGCAAAACTAAAAACGAAGCTTCCGGAAACTAAAACAGTGAGTACATAAATATTTTAATGTTGTTCGAAGTTGTGTCGTTGTTATCAGTACGTTCGCCCCCCTCCCCATGCTTTGACACTGACAGCAACCGTTTGTTTATGTATCAATTTGAATGTTTTTGTTGTGCGCAACCGAATGTTCTTGTTTAAATAATTTTTTAACATTCTTATTGCAATTATAGATTAATATTATAAGTATAAATATCTATAAATAGTATGCTATGCGAAAACAACACAAAATCACCTATTATAAGAAGACATTAAGGCTTGAAGTCGGAGTCGAAAAAAGCTTTATTGCGTTCAAAAGAATGTGTGCCTTATGTTTAGGAGATAAAGGTTGTTATTTGCATGCGTTATTTAGTAGCCTTGAGCGAAAGGGACGCGGGCGCCGCCGCCGCGTCGCCTCCCAGGTAGACATCGTTGCAGATCGTTCAGAGTAAGAGCAGACTGGACTGGATGCTAGCCACTATGAGGTATAAACAGGTTTTCAAATTTGTAAGCGATATTGATACTAGATATAAGAATGCGATATTTAATATTCATTTCGACATCATTTTGAAACACTGCGATTTCTCTATCCTTAAGTTGACCGTTTTGTAATAGTTTCTATAGTTTGTATGCGCATATATTATAAGATATAAATGACGAAATAATTTTTGGTGTTGTAAATACACTACTTTACTTTTACCGATCTAATTTGCGTAAGTACACAAAAATGCCCATGAGAATTGAAATATAGTTTTATTCTTATTTTAAACGAGAACAATTAAATCAAAATCAATACACGGCACTAACAGCGAAACTAAATGATAAAGTTAATATTATAGCTTCTGTTTAACAAAATACAATGAAAGGGATGATTATATTATTTGTTTGTTTGTCGACAAGAATGTCGACAGTGGAATTCCACAGTAAGAATCTTTTTCATAGAAATCTACAGACGAGAAGTTCTTAGCGGTTTGGGTGATGCAAAAGTTTATACAAACCGTTGTGAACCTTTCGATGTTACGTCATATGGTTGTTTATTCCACGATCCCTATTATTAAATTTCAGTATTTATACGCACAATGTAATTAGAGTCTCGGCTTGAATTTATTATACGAGAGCGATGTAACGTGTAATTTTTATGATGTTATATGCGAAAACATTTATTATTTACCTTGGGTTCCCATTGGAAAGAATAATATAAATTTCGATAACTAGCTTAAATTACACAATACTAAATAGAGTATTTAAAAAGTATGATTTGATTGTATTGCGAGTTTTAAATTGAATCTCGTTTCACGCTGTTTTCAATTAAGGGTGCTTGATTGTGAGTGAAATTCTGTACAGTTGCGATCGGGTCGCGGCGGGCGGCTGCAAACGGTTTTATGCGTTTTTAATGTTTTTAAGCCACGTTAGGGGCCCGTAGGGCTCGCCCTGCGGTCTGTAGGGAGGTGCAGAGTGCACAAAGTGCTCAAATTCATCCGCGCCACCGCGGGGTTCCGCAGTTAATTTGAACAGAGACTTTATTTGGCGCGGTTTTAGGGCACGATGCACACGAGAGCT